GGCCACAGAGGTGGCGGTGGAGGGTCCCCACCGCGTGTATTTGGCAAGCTAACAAGCCACCGTGCTCCTTTGTCAGTTTGTCAAATACACCGGGTGGTGATGCCTCCACATCATCAGGAGCAGCAGCAGCATCATCAGCGACATCGCTGTCGACAGCACAAACTGTCTTGTTACAATCATAACTCCCCAAACCTCCTACCACTCTGGTGAAAATTCCTGCACCGAGTTGAGCGGAGAAAGGGAACGATTGGTGGCTGGAGATGGGAACGCGGTGTGACGATCTGTGACTGGTGAGCTGGGAATGAGGTGACAGGATGAGTGGGAGGGAATGGAAGGGGGGGACTGTGGGGAATAAGAGGGCACGTGGGAGGAGGGACGAAAGCAGAGAGCTGTGGATGAAGGAGGGAGCTGTGTGCGGAGGGAGCTGTGAATGGAGGAGGGAGCTGTGTGTGTAGAGAGCTGTGGATGAAAAAGGGAGCTGTGTGTGGAGAGAGCTGTGGATGAAGGAGGGAGCTGTGTGTGGAGAGAGCTGTGAATGGAGGAGGGAGCTGTGTGTGTAGAGAGCTGTGGATGAAAAAGGGAGCTGTGTGTGGAGAGAGCTGTGGATGAAGGAGGGAGCTGTGTGCGGAGAGAGCTGTGAATGGAGGAGGGAGCTGTGTGTGTAGAGAGCTGTGGATGAAGGAGGGAGCTGTGTGCGGAGAGAGCTGTGGATGAAAAAGGGAGCTGTGTGGGGAGAGAGCTGTGGATGAAGGAGGGAGCTGTGTGCGGAGGGAGCTGTGAATGGAGGAGGGAGCTGTGTGTGGAGAGAGCTGTGGATGAAGGAGGGAGCTGTGTGTAGAGAGCTGTGGATGAAGGAGGGAGCTGTGTGTGGAGAGAGCTGTGGATGAAGGAGGGAGCTGTGTGTGGAGAGAGCTGTGGATGAAGGAGGGAGCTGTGTGTGGAGAGAGCTGTGGATGAAGGAGGGAGCTGCGTGTGACGGAGGTGGAATAAAAGGACTCGAGAACCCTGACCTGTCTCCACTCATCGCTTCATCAGAGTCCTCCGGTCTAAATAAAGATTCTACATCGTTACCATCATCGCCACCAGTTGTAGCATTACTGTCATTACCTCTTCTTGCGCTCCGGTTCCACCCCCCGCCCCTCACCCTCCCCTCCACGTGTATAATCACAAATGAATCGTCTGATAACACATTTTTATATAGAGGACTGGCGGAGCTTAGTGAGGGGCGGGCGGGCAATTTGGCACCTGCTCACCTCGCAGCTGCCGCTGCCTCCCCGCCCCTCCTCTGTGGTTACTCCTCCCGGCGTCGCTTCATCGTCCTCTCCGTCTACAAGAGCGAGCTGTGCTGTGTGCGGGCGCCGCGTTACAAGTTGACCGCATCATTGCCACTACTCCACTTGGACGACACACAGCCAACGGCAGTCCATCGCCCACTGCTAGCAGACGAATGCACAGGGGTGACAGCTGCCACCGGGGGTGCCCCTAGGTTAGGGGTCAGCAACCTGCGGCCTTGTGACGTCATTCACATTCTTTGCGGCTCTTGAAATATTGAGGGGGGTTTTTTTATATATACCGAATTCGAAAAAATGGCTCTTCTTGCTTTGGTTGCCAACCATGGTGGAGAGTTTGGAATCTGATTGATCGATTGCTTCTGTGGACAGGTGTCTTTTATACAGGTATCAAGCTGAGATTAGGAGGACTCCTTTTAAGAGTGTGCTCCTAATCTCAGCTCGTTACCTGTATAAAAGACACCTGGGAGCCAGAAACCTTTCTGATTGAGAGGGGGTCAAATTCTTATTTCCCTCATTAAAATGCAAATCAATTTATAACATTTTTGACATCCGTTTTTCTGGATTTTTTTTGTTATTATTCTGTCTCTCACTGTTCAGATAAACCTACCATTAAAATTCTAGACTGATCATTTATTTTTCAGTGGGCAAACGTACAAAATCAGCAGGGGATCAAATACTTTTTTCCCTCACTGTATACCACACAGCAGCAATCATCACCCCCTTACGGGCAGCAGACTAATGCACAGGAACAGCTACCACCGTGGGTGCCCCTTTCAAATACGTTGATATTATATGTTTTAAAGCACTCTGAGATGCACCGGCGTAGAGGAAGACGATGCCTCTATCGAAACACAAATCGGTATCATCACCTGCGCCGTTATTTAGTCTTGACCATCAGAACCATCATCGTCATCAATCAACATCACCAACAACCTCATGCGCACAAGCACACAGACTTGAGGTTTAGTTTTTTATTCTTTAATCACGCATCCTAGCGGAGACTACACGAATCAGGTAAACCAGCGGCGGAAACATTAACACATGAAATTAATCAGCAATGTTATGGCGACTACATAAGCCTGACACCAGACAGTGCCAGTAAGACTTTGACACGGCCACTTTTGAAGCTGACCTAGCCATTGTGAACCGGACACGGCCATTGTGGTGAGCCTAGCAACGAGCGGTGTATGAATCCCGTGACAGAGAGGGACACTTAGACCCACCAGGGCTTGAATCCACAACTCCGGAGCTTACTGAGCTGTGTCCTACACGGCCATTGTGAATGGGATCGTCATGGCTGGGTGTTGTTTCCCCGTGGCAGGCCCTTGCCATCTGCAACACGGCCATCATCAAAGTCCCACTGCTTGCAGCACTTTCACAGCAGCAGCGTTCAACCTGTACCAACTATTAAGAAATACTTAAAGGCCCCACCTCTATCTTAATAGGCCTCTGTCTTATAGGCCTGACCTCTATCTTAAAGGCCCCACCCTCTATGGTAGAAGGCTCCACCTTACCCGTAAAAGGCCGCACCTCAATCGTAAGAGATCCCACCTCTATGGTAAAGGCCCCACTACCTCGTTCGCCTGGCTTCCGAGCGACACTGCGCCCAATCCCGTGCCTCACTTAGTCACGGTGATGTATGTCCTTTAAACATTTTTCTCCTCGCTTTTACACGGTGCTCGTAGTAGTAGTGATAGTAGATGTCTTCTTTGGTTCTTTCAGTAAAGTCACCACGTAGAATGAGAATAAAATAATAAATTGATAAAATAAAATAACACAATAATATTCTCACGACGTTTCGGCCACAACACAAGCGGCCTTCATCAGGTGAAGGGACGAGACTGATGAAGGCCGCTTGTGTTGTGGCCGAAACGTCGTGAGAATATTATTGCGTTATTTTATTTTATCAATTTATTATTTTATTCTCATTCTACGTGGTGGTGGTGACTTTACCGAAAGAACCAAAGAAGATGAATCCTTGCAGTCGCAAAAGCTTTAAATCGAAATTTAGTAGTAGTAGATGCTTTCCAAAGAAAGGGCGCGCAAAGCGAAGCCGCTCAACGAGACAGCTGCCTGGCGAGTAGTGCACACACAGTACACGCACAACATAGTCCCACGTCCGACTGCACAGCCGCACGTAGAGTGAATTCAAACTGCACGCAGCAAATTTTTGGCAAGCCGCATAGAGGCAAAATGGCACAAAAAGAGGGGAACCTGTACGTGGAATGTCCGAATAGGTGTCTAAAGGTACTCCGTTGTTAGATTTGTTCGAACGTTTTCGAGTGGCACGGCAGCAGGGATGCGATTGGCCGCCAACATTGCCCAGGGCAACGTCATCGTTCAGTATCAGAAAATGGCCGCCGCCGGTTTTAGAATCGTGTCGGGCGAGCGCTCAAAGATTCAAGAATTCGACGACAACTTTAAAACTATTCAATACTCTCTCGCATTGAGACTAAATTATACTTTATGCTACGATCTTTTTTTCTGGATAATGTATTGCATCGTTGCCATTAGAAACTGTCGAGATTGTCTAGATGGCTTATGTCTTCCAACTCGGGTTGAAAGAGCGCTTGTTAGCTCTTTCTGCCTGTAAAAAAAATCAACGGCTACCCTATCATAGGTGTCTGCTACCTCACTGTCCACCCCTGTCACAGTCGTCCACCTCTGCAGTTGTCTTATCTGCCGTCGTCCACCCTCATCACGGTCCACTCGCTGGTGTCCACCTCATCCCGTCTATCCGTCTTGTGACTCATCCACGTCGTCAGTTGTCCACCTGGCCCCAGTTGTGATCATTGTCCACCTTCTCCCAAGTCGTCCATCTCGTCATCATCCACTTCCTCTGAATCCATTCGTCGCTGTCCACCATGCGTCAGTCGTCCATACTCATCCCCGTTGTCCACCTCACAGTTGTCTTCTGCGATTCATGTTTTATTGTACCAGGTAAGGGCCCTCTGAGCTGCTATCCAGGGCTTTTTCAGAAGCGACCTGGCCATCATGAACAATAGCTCCTCAACTAAGTGGCTTCCCATCAACATCATCATCCATCTGTCGCCGTCACCTCGTCCGCCAACGTCACCACCGTCACTACAGTCACCACCGCCACCACCGTCACCAGTCACCACCATCACTACAGTCACCACAGTCACCACCGTCACCACCATCACCCCGTCACCACCGCCACCACCGCCACCAGTCACCACAGTCACCACAGTCACCACCGTCACCTCGTCACCACAGTCACCTCGTCACCACCGTCACCTCATCACCTCGTCACCACCTCGTCACCACACCGCTCACAGCGCCTCGTCACCACCTAGTCACCACACCGCTCACAGCGCCTCGTCACCACCTCGTCACCACCTCGTCACCACCTCGTCACCACACCGCTCACAGCGCCTCGTCACCACCGTCACCTCGTCACCACCTCGTCACCACCTCGTCACCACCTCGTCACCATCTCGTCACCACACCGCTCACAGCGCCTCGTCACCACCTAGTCACCACACCGCTCACAGCGCCTCGTCACCACCTCGTCACCACCTCATCACCACCTCGTCACCACACCGCTCACAGCGCCTCGTCACCACCGTCACCTCGTCACCACCTCGTCACCACCTCGTCACCACCTCGTCACCATCTCGTCACCACACCGCTCACAGCGCCTCGTCACCACCTAGTCACCACACCGCTCACAGCGCCTCGTCACCACCTCGTCACCACCTCGTCACCCCACCGCTCACAGCGCCTCGTACTCGTCGATACGCTGCTTGGTGGTGCCCCTGCGGATGCGCCTCAGGGTGTGGAAGCGAACTGCCCTGCGCAGCGCCGCCGCCCCCGCCGTGGGCCCCACGGGCACCACCGCCTCAGCCGCCTCCTCCTCCTCCTCTCCCGCCTGCTGCTGCTGCCCCTCGCGTGGCTCAACCAGGGAGGCGGCCACGGCCTTGGGGGGGGTGGGGTGGGGGGGATGGAAGGGGGGAGGGGTCAGTGGGTGGGGGGGGGGGCGGTCACGTGTAGGCAAAATAAAATCACGTTGTTACAAGTTTCAAGCAAAGACACAAATACAAATAACACGTTAGCAAAATGGTAGAGATTATGATGGTGGTGGCGATGGTGGTGATGGTGGTGATGGTGGTCACGGTGATGGTGGTGGTGGTAATGGTGGCAGTGATGGTGGTGGTGGAGGTGCTGATGATGGTGGACGTGATGGTGGAGGTGGTGGTGGTGGTGGTGGCGGTGATGGTGACGGTGATGGTGGTGGCAGTGATGGTGGTGGTGGTGATGGCGGTGATGGTGATGATGGTTGTGGTGGCGGTGATGGTGGTGACGGTGGTGGTGGTGATGGTGGTGGTAATGGTGGCAGTGATGGTGGTGGTGATGGTCGTGGTGGCCATGGTCGTGGTGGTGGTGGTGGTGGTGATGTGAAGCACCTTGAGCTGGGAGTTCCTCATCTCGACCTTCGAGTCCTGGACCTTCTTCAGCTCGTCGGGCACTTCGTAGATCCCCGACGACACTGACGACGACGAGGACCTGCGGGACGAACCAGCAGAGGAGAGAGCCTGACCACATCGCCCTCGCCCATGAGGTGGTGGTGATTGTGGTGGTGATGGTGGTGGTGATGGTGGTGGTCATGGTGGTGGTGGTGGCGGTGATGGTGGCAGTGATGGTGGCAGTCATGGTGATGGTGGTGATAGTGGCGGTGGTGGTGGTGGTGGTGGTGGCGGTGTTGATGGTGGTGGTAGTGGTGATTGTGATGGTGTTGATGGTGGTGCTGATAGTTGTGATTATGATGGTGATGGTGGCGGTGATGGTGATGGTGGTGATGGTGGCGTTGATGGTGGTGGTGATGGTGGTGGTGATGGTGGTGGTGGTGATGATGGTGGTGGTGATGGTGATGATGATGGTGATGGTGGTGATGATGGTGGTAGTGATGGTGGTGGTGGTGATAGTGGCAGTGATGGTGGTGGTGGTGATGGTGTTGATGGTGATGCTGATAGTGGTGGTGATGGTGGCGGTGATGGTGGTGATGGTGTTTTGGTGGTGGTGGTGTTGGTGGTGGTGATGGTGGTGATGATGATGATGATGGTGACGGTGGTGATGATGGTGGTGATGGTGGTGGTGATGATGGTAGTGGTGGGGAGCGGTGGTGTTGCGCTTAGCGCTACGCTACGAACCCGACAATCCGAGTTCGATTCCCGCTCACGGCCAACACCCAGTGATGATGATCAGAACCGGTCCTGGGTCTCCCCTAGGTCGACTCAGCCTCTAATGAGTACCTCGTGCGACGTATAAACATCACGTATGGGCGACAAAGACGGCCGGGCGTGGTGCTGGCCACCCACCCCCTCGTGTGCCAGGCCGGCCTTCATAGGCGCTGCTCACTAACAGCACTTGCCTCAATAGCCTGTTAAGGCTACACAGGAGGATCTTTGTCTTTGATGATGGTAGTGGTGGCAATATTAGTGGTGGTGATTGTTAGTGATGGTGGTGATGGCGGTGGTGATGGTGGTGATGGTGGTGACGGTGGTGATGATGGTGGTGAGGTTGATGATGATGATGATAGTCGTGGTGGTGGTGATGTTGGTGGTAGTCCGGCAAAACAACCCCCTACCTCGTTGTGGTGCCAGATGGGCAACGCTGTCGTGGGCAGTGCAATGGAGGGGAGGGCCAATTCCGCTTGGCCTTTCCCCTCATGGCATTTGTAACCATCACAGCGGCTAAATAGGGGCTCTGGAAGGATGCGAGGGGCTGGTAACCCCTCCACCTTCAATAAATTAATTCTAAACCACGATCACAAAATTTTACAAATAATCTTGTGCCCGAAGCCCCGGGGGGACAGGCGTCTATGACATCTCCTGGCCAAACCACATTTTTTGCCGGAGCCAGGAGACTGAATCCTTACCCACGGGGCTCCTCCAGAAACAACAAAAAGCCACTTCGTGTGGCCACGTGGAATGTTCGAACGCTCACTGCGGAGGAGAGGCTGCCACTCCTCTGTCGGGAGCGGGACCGGTACCGCCTGGATCTCTATGGTATTCAGGAGGTCTGGTGGACCGGCTCTGGCTCCTGCCATCATGAGAGGTGGACTCAGGTTAGCAGACTGCCAAACAACAGGGTGTGGCACTTCTTTTGAATAAAAGAATGAAAGGAGCGTGGGAGCGTGGCGGTGAGGTGTGGGAAGCTGTAAGCCCCAGGCTACTTTGGGCTCGCCTTCCCATCAATCGGAGGCGAGGAGTGGTGGTCGTGGTTACTTATGCCCCCACTGAAGACGAACACCTGTGGAGGGATGCAGGCAAAGTCGATGAGTCAGATGCCTTCTATGACCTCCTGTCACAGGTGCTGGCTAAAGTGGCCTCTCAGGATAGAGTAATCTTGTTGGGTGACTTCAATGCCCGAGTTGGTCCTGATGCTGGCACCTGGTCTGGAGTGATTGTAAGGTATGGGCCAGATCTGCTCAATAACAACGGCAAGAGGCTGCTAGATTTTTGTGCAGCCCATGGGCGTGTATTCACCAACACGCTGTTCTGGCATCGGCGCATTCGCACCACATCATGGATGCATGCTGGGTCCAAGCAAGAACATCTGCTGGACTACATAGTGACGGAACAGCGGATGCGGGCCCATGTCCTTGACACCAGGACCTACCGTGGAGCTGATCTGTCCACTGACCATCGACTCGTCATCTGCAAGATGCGCCTGCCATTCTTCCACTCCGGTGGTGGGTCTACACTCAGGACCCCATTCAAACCCTTAGTGGCATGGTCTCAGCTCGCTGATGAACGTTGCAAGCGAGAATTTCATCATCACTTGCAGCTGGGGTTGGCATCGTCCCCCACTCCTCCTGATATCGAGGGGAAATGGGAGAGGTTTAAGACTGTGGTTCATGCAGCTGCAATGGCTGCTTTGGGTCCACGGTCCAGACTTCCACAGAGACCCTGGCTAACAGAAGAGGTGTTCAAGCTGGCTGAGAAAAAACGACAGGCCCACTCTCATCGGCTACAGCATCCCATGTCGGAGAATGAGGAGGCTTACTGCAGCCTTCGCTCGGAGGTTCAGAGAGCCGTGAAGCGCTGCAAGGATGGGTGGTGGTCGCGGGTTGCTGAGGAGATGGAATCTGCCTCAGTCGCCCGCGATCACAAATCGCTCTTTAATTCCATCAAAAAAGTAACCTGCAGCGCCACACCTATTACCATCATTAGGGGAAAAAACGGTGATCCAATCTCCGACCCCCAGGAACAGGTTTGCAGATTTGCTGAGCATTTTTGTGAGGTCCTGTGGGAGGGGAAATCCCTCAGCCTGGAAAACATCATGGGACAAAGTGGGGATGACCCTGCTGAGGCTGCGGTGCCTCAAATATTGGAGGAGGAAGTCACCCCCTGTGAGTGTCTGGCTAAGGTGCAATCATAATCTCCCTAGCGAAATGCTGAGGGAGGGTAGCGTTTGTGCACAGACTGCCCTACATGAGATCATAACAACAGTCTGGACCACTGGATGGGTTCCGCAGGATTGGAAGGATGCCCTGGTGGTCCCCCTCTTTAAGAAGTAGGACCGCACAGATTGTAACAACTACAGGGGCATCTCACTCCTCAGTGTGCCGGGAAAGGTCATGGCAAGGATTATTCAGCATCGCCTTGCTAGGCACGCTGAGCAGAGGCTTGCAGAGCCCCAATGCGGTTTCAGGAAAGGGCGGTCCTGCGCAGATTCCATGTTTTCCGTCCGTCTGCTACATCAGAGGTGTAGGGAATTCCAGCAAGACCTACATCTCTGCTTTATTGACCTGGTCAAGGCCTATGATACCATCAGTAGGCCTGGGCTCTGGTTTGTTCGTCGTGCTTTTGGAGTCCTTGACCCTCTGCTCATGCTCATTAAGGACCTTCATGATGGTGAGCGGGCCTGGGTAAAACTACGTGGCCGGGAGTCAGAGCTATTCCCTGTACACCTTGGGGTGCGACAGGGATGTCCTCTGGCTCCCACATAATTTAACATCTATTTTGACCACGTAGTTCATGAAGCCTTCAATAGCTGTACCGGAGGAATTTCCATCTGGTACAGATATAATGGGAGGCTGATCCATGCCCAGGTGCGGTCAAGGGATGGCTCCTTATTGCTCAACCATGTTATGTATGCCGATGATCTGGTAATTGCTGCTCACTCAGAGAAGGAGTTGGAGGTGCTGCTGCTAAACCTGGAGCTTGCCACCAAGAGGTGGGGTCTTACCATCAGCCCCATCAAAACTAAGCACCTGCCTGGGTATTTTGTACCATCGGACACTCCACCCCCACAAGTCCAAATTGGTGATAGGGCAGTTGTGGAGTGAGTGGAGAGTTTTCCATACCTTGGCAGTATGCTCATGACCAGCTCTGGTTTAACAGCAGAGGTCTCTCTCCGAATCAGTCGAGCGGCATTATATTTTCCTCGGTTACATAACACTGTGTGGAAGCTACCTGGTCTATCGCTCCGCACTAAGCTTCAGGTCTTCTCGGCCACAGTCATTCCCCCTCTTCTCTACGCTTGCGAAACGTGGAACCCCCTAATGGAACATCTTCGCTGGTTAGAAACATTAAGGCTGGCCTGCCTACGATCCATCCCTGAAAGATATGGACAAAGTCCCATCGGTGAGCTCCTCCGGCAGGCAAGGCTGCGTTGGCTGGGCCATGTAGCCCGCATGCCCAGCCACTGCATGCCTAAACAGCTTTTGTTCGGCCGGATCGAGGGGGCTAAATGGACGCGGCACGGGCTACAGAAGAGATGGAGTGATGTGGTACAGGAGGACGTGGAGCTGAGTAGACTTGCCGATGACTGGTACCAGCGGTGTCAAGATCGGCCTCTGTGGAGGAGGCTCGTGAAGGACGCTACTGGGCAGTTGGAGGCAGTCGCCCTCCAACAACAACGGAGGGCGGAGGAGCGACGCTCACAACAACGAGCGGAGCGCCGGGTGGCTAAAGCACAGCAGGTTGGCACAGTAGGGGGCACAGGTGGTGCATCAGCCAGTCATCTCAGTCAGTCGGCCCGTGGCGCCTGGTTCTGCCCCGTGACCTCCTGCCAGCGGGCGTTCGACACTTCACGTGGCCTCAAGGTGCACATGGCCTGGCACAAGCGTCGTGGTGACGTCACCGCCACTTAGTGGCGAATGGCTGTTGTTTGTGTGTCTATCTGTTTGTGTCTATCTGTGTGTGTCCATCTGTGTGTGTGTTTAATAGGTGGGAGCGGTGGTGTGGCGGTTAGTGGATAGTTGGTGGTGATGGTGGTGATGGTGGTGGTGATGGTGGTGATGGTGGTGGTGATGGTGGTGGTGATGGTGGTGATGGTGGTGGTGATGGTGGTGATGGTGATGATGGTGGTGATGGTGGTGGTGATGGTGGTGATGGTGGTGATGGTGGTGGTGATGGTGGTGATGGTGGTGGTGATGGTGGTGATGATGGTGGTGATGGTGGTGGTGATGGTGGTGATGGTGGTGGTGATGGTGGTGATGGTGGTGGTGATGGTGGTGATGGTGGTGGTGATGGTGGTGATGGTGGTGGTGATGGTGGTGATGGTGGTGGTGATGGTGGTGATGGTGGTGGTGATGGTGGTGGTGATGGTGGTGATGGTGATGGTGGTGATGGTGGTGATGGTGGTGGTGATGGTGGTGATGGTGGTGGTGATGGTGGTGGTGATGGTGGTGGTGATGGTGGTGATGGTGATGGTGGTGATGGTGGTGGATGATGGTGGTGATGGTGGTGATGGTGGTGGTGATGGTGGTGGTGATGGTGGTGGTGATGGTGGTGATGGTGATGGTGATGGTGGTGATGGTGGTGGTGATGGTGGTGGTGATGGTGGTGGTGATGGTGGTGATGGTGGTGGTGATGGTGGTGATGGTGGTGGTGATGGTGATGGTGGTGGTGATGGTGGTGGTGATGGTGGTGATGGTGGTGGTGGTGATGGTGGTGATGGTGGTGATGGTGGTGGTGATGGTGGTGATGGTGGTGATGGTGGTGATGGTGGTGGTGATGGTGGTGGTGATGGTGGTGGTGGTGATGGTGGTGATGGTGGTGGTGATGGTGGTGGTGATGGTGGTGATGGTGGTGGTGATGGTGGTGGTGATGGTGGTGGTGGTGATGGTGGTGATGGTGGTGATGGTGGTGATGATGGTGGTGATGGTGGTGGTGATGGTGGTGGTGGTGGTGGTGATGGTGGTGGTGATGGTGGTGGTGATGGTGGTGGTGATGGTGGTGGTGATGGTGGTGATGGTGGTGGTGATGGTGGTGATGGTGGTGGTGATGGTGGTGATGGTGATGGTGGTGGTGATGGTGGTGGTGATGGTGGTGATGGTGGTGGTGATGGTGGTGATGGTGGTGGTGATGGTGGTGGTGATGGTGGTGATGGTGGTGGTGATGGTGGTGGTGATGGTGGTGGTGATGGTGGTGGTGATGGTGGTGGTGGTGATGGTGGTGATGGTGGTGGTGATGGTGGTGATGGTGGTGGTGATGGTGGTGATGGTGGTGGTGATGGTGGTGATGGTGATGGTGGTGGTGATGGTGGTGATGGTGGTGATGGTGGTGATGGTGGATGGTGGTGATGGTGGTGGTGATGGTGGTGATGGTGGTGGTGATGGTGGTGGATGGTGGTGGTGATGGTGTGGTGGTGATGGTGGTGGTGATGGTGGTGGTGATGGTGGTGATGGTGGTGGTGATGGTGGTGAGTGATGGTGGTGATGGTGGTGGTGATGGTGGTGGTGATGGTGGTGATGGTGGTGTGATGGTGGTGATGGATGGTGGTGATGGTGGTGGTGATGATGGTGGTGATGGTGGTGGTGATGGATGGTGGTGGTGATGGTGGTGGTGATGGTGGTGATGGTGGTGATGGTAGGTGTGGTGGTGATGATGGTGGATGTGGTGGTGATGGTGGTGTGGTGGTGGTGATGGTGGTGGTGGTGATGTGGTGATAGTGGTGGTGGTGGTGATGTGGTGGTGAATGGATGGTGATGGTGGTGGTGATGGTGGTGATGGTGGTGGTGATGGTGGTGATGAGGGTGTGGTGGTGGTGATGGTGGTGATGGTGGGTGGTGATGGTGGTGGTGATGGTGGTGGTGATGGTGTGGTGGGTGATGGTGGGTGATGGTGGTGTGAGTGGTGGTGATGGTGGTGGTGATGGTGGTGGTGATGGTGATGGTGTTGGTGATGGTAGGTGGTGGGATGGTGGGTGATGGGTGGTGGTGATGGTGGTGGTGATGGTGGTGTGGTGGTGGTGATGGTGGTGATGGTGATGGTGGTGTGAGGGTGGTGGTGGATGGTGGGTGATGGTGGTGATGGTGGTGGTGATGGTGTGGTGTGGTGGTGATGGTGGTGGTGATGGTGGTGGTGATGGTGATGGTGGTGATGGTGGTGATGATGGTGGTGATGGTGGTGGTGATGGTAGTGGTGGTGATGGTGGTGATGATGGTGGTGATGGTGGTGGTGATGGTGGTGGTGATGGTGGTGGTGATGGTGGTGATGATGGTGGTGATGGTGGTGATGGTGGTGGTGATGGTGGTGATGATGGTGGTGATGGTGGTGGTGATGGTGGTGGTGATGGTGGTGGTGATGGTGGTGATGATGGTGGTGATGGTGGTGGTGATGGTGGTGGTGATGGTGGTGGTGATGGTGGTGATGATGGTGGTGGTGGTGATGGTGGTGATGGTGGTGATGGTGATGGTGGTGGTGATGGTGGTGGTGATGGTGGTGGTGATGGTGGTGGTGGTGGTGATGGTGGTGATGGTGATGGTGGTGGTGATGGTGGTGATGGTGGTGATGGTGGTGGTGATGGTGGTGATGGTGGTGGTGATGGTGGTGATGGTGATGGTGGTGATGGTGGTGGTGATGGTGGTGATGGTGGTGGTGATGGTGGTGATGGTGGTGGTGATGGTGATGGTGGTGATGGTGGTGGTGATGGTGGTGATGGTGGTGGTGATGGTGGTGATGATGGTGGTGATGGTGATGGTGGTGGTGGTGATGGTGGTGATGATGGTGGTGATGGTGATGGTGGTGATGGTGGTGATGATGGTGGTGGTGATGGTGGTGATGGTGGTGATGGTGGTGGTGATGGTGGTGATGGTGGTGATGGTGATGGTGGTGGTGATGATGGTGATGGTGGTGATGGTGATGGTGGTGGTGATGGTGGTGATGGTGGTGGTGATGGTGGTGATGGTGGTGATGGTGGTGATGGTGATGGTGGTGGTGATGGTGGTGATGGTGGTGGTGATGGTGGTGGTGATGGTGGTGATGGTGGTGATGGTGGTGATGGTGATGGTGGTGGTGATGGTGGTGATGGTGATGGTGGTGGTGATGGTGGTGATGGTGGTGATGGTGATGGTGGTGATGGTGGTGATGGTGGTGATGGTGGTGATGGTGGTGATGGTGATGGTGGTGATGGTGGTGATGGTGATGGTGGTGATGGTGGTGATGGTGGTGGTGGTGATGGTGGTGATGGTGGTGATGGTGGTCCTCACCTGCGCGAGTCGCCGTGCCCGTTGTGCTGCCCCTGCTGCTGTTCGTGTCCCCAGCGATCTCCGTCCGTGAGGTCTCCGTGGGGGAGCCTGGGGAGCTCACGGGGGTGGGGCCTGGTGGGGGGAGACACGGAGACAGCCTCCCCTGTGTCTCCCTCCCTCGCCTCGTGGCTCCCCTCCTGTCTCCCTCCCCTCGTGTCTCCCTCCCTCCCCCTCGTGTCTCCCTCCATCCCCCTCGTGTCTCCCTCCCCTCGTGTCTCCCTCCCCTCGTGTCTCTCTCCCTCCCCTGTGTCTCCCACCCCCTCCCCTGTGTCTCCCACCCCCTCGTGTCTCTCTCCCTCCCCTGTGACTCCCCTCGTGTCTCTCTCCCCTCGTGTCTCCCTCCCCTCGTGTCTTCCTCCCCCTCGTGTCTCCCTCCCTCCCCCTCGTGTCTCCCCTCGTGTCTCCCTCCCCCTCGTGTCTCCCTCCCCCTCGTGACTCCCTCCCCCTCGTGACTCCCTCCCCCCTCGTGACTCCCTCCCTCCCCTCGTGTCTCCCCTCGTCTCTCCCCTCGTGTCTCCCTCCCTCCCCTCGTCTCTCCCCTCGTGTCTCCCTCCCTCCCCCTGTGTCTCCCTCCCCCTCGTGTCTCCCTCCCCCTCGTGTCTCCCTCCCCTCGTGTCTCTCTCCCTCCCCCTCGTGTCTCTCTCCCTCCCCTCGTGTCTCCCACCCCCTCGTGTCTCTCTCCCTCCCCTCGTGTCTCCCTCCCCTCGTGTCTCTCTCCCTCCCCATGTGTCTCCCTCCCCCTCATCTCCCTCTCCTCCCCACGTCTCCCCTCTCCAAACCTCCAATCTCCCCACTCACCCACTCGCTCACCGACAAGCTCATCCACCCACTCGCTCACTCGTTATGCGTCCCTGCATGTCTCCATGTGTGTCTCTGCGTGTCTCCCCGCGTGTCCCCTCCGTGTCTCCCCGCGTCTGCCCTGCATGTCTCCATGTGTGTCTCTGCGTGTCTCCCCGCCGTGTCTCCCCGCCGTGTCTCCGCGCGTGTACCTGCCCTCGTCCTTGCGGAGCTGCGTGATCTCGGGGGGAGTGTCTCCGTGTCTCCGCGCGTACAGCTCGTGGTTCCCCACGCAGGCGGACAGGACGCGGCGATTGGTCCGCACGCTCGGGACGAGGAACTCAAAATCCTGGGACACCACGGAGGGACACGCCGGGGGACACGCCGGGGACATGGGGGACACGCGGGGAGACACACGGGGAGACACGCGGGGAGACACACGGGGAGACACACGGGGAGACACGCGGGGAGACACACGGGGAGACACGCGGGGAGACACACGGGGAGACACACGGAGAGACACGCGGAGAGACACGCGGGGAGACACACGGGGAGACACACGGGGTAACGGAGACACGCGGGGTTACTGTACGTGGTAACGGGGTCACATGGAGACAGAGGGAATGTTCAGTAGGTTTCTGGATGGTGTCAGAATTCGATAAGGAAGCCAGGATCTATACGGGATATGAGGGATTGATATGGGATGGGAGTTCTATAGGGGATGTAAGTGTTCTATATGGGATATGAGGTGATCGATATGGGATGGGAGTTCTATAGGGGATGTAAGTGTTCTATATGGGATATGAGGGATCGATATGGGATGGGAGTTCTATAGGGGATGTAAGTGTTCTATATGGGATATGAGGGATCGATATGGGATGGGAGTTCTATAGGGGATGTAAGTGTTCTATACGGGATATGAGGGATCATATATGGGATGGGAGTTCTATAGGGGATGTAAGTGTTCTATATGGGATACGAGGGATCGATATGGGATGGGAGTTCTATAGGGGATGTAAGTGTTCTATATGGGATATGAGGGATCGATATGGGATGGGAGTTCTATAGGGGATGTAAGTGTTCTATACGGGATATGAGGGATCGATATGGGATGGGAGTTCTATAGGGGATGTAAGTGTTCTATATGGGATATGAGGGATCGATATGGGATGGGAGTTCTATAGGGGATGTAAGTGTTCTATATGGGATATGAGGGATCGATATGGGATGGGAGTTCTATAGGGGATGTAAGTGTTCTATATGGGATATGAGGGATCGATATGGGATGGGAGTTCTATAGGGGATGTAAGTGTTCTACATGGGATATGAGGGATCGATATTGGATGGGAGTTCTATAGGGGATGTAAGTGTTCTATATGGGATATCAGGGATCGATATGGGATGGGAGTTCTATAGGGGATGTAAGTGTTTTATATGGGATATGAGGGATCGATATGGGATGGGAGTTCTATAGGGGATGTAAGTGTTCTATACGGGATACGAGGGATCGATATGGGATGGGAATTCTATAGGGGATGTAAGTGTTCTATATGGGATATCAGGGATCGATATGGGATGGGAGTCGTTACAGGGGCGTCTTCATCGCAGGATTTGATGATGAACCGAGTTCCTTCGGTCGTCAAAACTGCAATCTCCTCCCAGATGAAGTCAATCTTGGGAGTCAGCCTGCAACGAGATCATCACAACCACCATCATCACCATCATCATCACAACCACCATCATCACCATCATCATCACCATCATCATCACCATCATCATCACCATCATCATCACCATCATCACCACAATCATCATCACCATCATCACCGTCTTCATCATCACCATCATCACCAACATTATCACCATCATCACCACCACCATCATCATCACCATCATCATCACCACCACCGGCACTATCGTCACCATCATTCCAATCATCATCAACACCTCTCACTCAGTCCAACTCCTCCCCGTGGCACTCGTCCGACGGCTAAAGCAACTGAACTGTGGCTCATTTGAAGGCCAACGTAGACAAATTGCACTGCGCAGCACGATGTTTGTTCCTGGGTACTGAGTGTTACCCTCTTTGTATCTTTCGGTAAAGTTACGTAGAGTGAAAAGATAAAAATAAAAATAGAAATAAATTAAATCACGACGTTTCGATTGCAACACAAGCAATCATCAACATCATCTGGTGTGACGAAACCACAGCAACTCGTTTGTTCTTTGGGTAGTTTAAAAATAAAAAGCAAAAAAAAAATTGCCTGCGGTTGTCCCGCCTGATGACGGAAGCTCGTGTTGCTTCCGAAACGTCGTGATTTGATTAATTTTTTTAGATTTTTTTCTACCTACGTGACTTTGCCGAAAGAACCAAAGAGTATGGATCATTGCAGTCACGAACTCTTCAAATCTAGAATGTTTTGTTTACTTTAGTGGGAGAGATGCCAGAGTTAGGGCAGTTAAATAAATCAGAGAGGGGGGGGGGGTGAATGGAGCGAGGACTGCGATTTATTTATTTCTATTTTTGTTTAGCTGCTTCAGTTTTCACACGTGATGATCGATTGCTTGTGTTGCGGTCGAAACGTCGCGATATCATTTCTGTTCGATTTTCTACCTACTTGCCTTTGCCGAAAGAACTACGGATTCAAATCAAGATTACTGTTCCGATTTAAAGCTTTCGTGACTGCGGGGATTCATCTTCTTGGTTCTTTCGGTAAAGTCTACGTGACTTTACCGAAAGAACCAAGAAGATTATTGTACTGGCAAAGGAGGTCTAATGATGATGTAGATGCTCACCCCGAGCCCTCATTACTTTGATAGTGCATTGTCTTTGAGCTGTGTGACGCCTTTTGGCGTCATCTGGTCGAGCACCAATTGGGTCGAGGCTCGAAAGAAAGCCGTCCCTTGGTGTGGACCAATCAGTTTCAAGAACAATGCATCACATATTATCATAGCGTGTTTTTTGTTTGCATTTTGACTGCAGGTATTGTGGTTAATGCAGACATGAATCCGTGTAAAAAGGTTTCAGTTTTGTTGCCAGAAAAAAGGGGAAAAACCCTATTATTATAAGATTATTGTTTTTTTTTTCTAATTGCCTATGCCTCAAAAAGTGCAGAGGATGGCTGTTGTTATTCCCCACAAACTTTGCTCTTGTGACCAGGACTTTATAACGTGAACGAAAGACGCAAATGCCCACCACATTTTTCTCACTCCGAATCAGTCGAGCGGCATTATCTTTTCATTGGTTGCGTAACGCTGTGTGGAAGCTACCTGGTCTGTCGCTCCGCACTCAGCTTCGGGTCTTCTCGGCCACGGTCATTCCCTCCCTTCTCTACGCTTGCGAAACGTGGACCCCCCTAATGGAACATCTTCGCCGGTTAGAGACATTTAGGCTGGCCTGCCTACGATCCATCCTGGGTTTAACCAGGATGGATTGTGTGAGGAGCTCACAAATCCTTGAGAGATCTGGGCAAGGTCCCATCGGTGAGCTCCTCCGGCAGGCAAGGCTGCGTTGGCTGGGCCATTTCAAAATATCACTGTCCTGGTCACAAAAGCAAAGTTTGTGGGGCATACCCTGTGGTTCTTTCGGTGAAGTCACTCACGTAGGTATAAAATAAAATAAAAATCACGACGGTTCGATCGCAACACAAGCGACCGTCATCAGATGGAACAGATACAATGCGGGAGGACTGCTGACATCGGAGGTGGGGCATAATAGCCATGTGTCGGGAATAATCATAGCCATTCTCTGTACTTTTGAGGCATAAGCAATTAGGAAATAACACTTGGTACCCAGGAACTAAAAATAAATAAATCCATTTGATCCACAGTGTTACTGATGGAGTGGATCATTAACTTCGCTTTTGTGTCCTGGTCACGAAAGCAAAGTGTGTCGGGAATAATCATAGCCACTTCCTGTACTTTTGAGGCATAAACAAGTGGTAGAAATAACACTTAGTACACAGTAACAAAAAAATATATTTTTGTTTGTTACACAGAGTTATTATCGAGGCTTCACCTGCCCTGTTTCCTATGGGTACGCACATTGTCACACGGGAGAGACACACGGGAGAGACACACTGGGAGACACACGGAGAGACACACGGAGAGACACACGGAGAGAGACACACGGGGAGACACACGGAGAGACACACGGAGAGAGACACGCAGGGAGACACACGGAGAGACACACGTTTCCTATTGGTACGCACATTGTCACACGGGAGAGACACATGGGGAGACACACAGAGAGACACACGGAGAGACACACGGAGAGACACACGGGGAGACACACGGAGAGACACACGGAGAGAGACACGCAGGGAGACACACGGAGAGACACAAGGGGAGACACGCGGGGAGACACACGGAGAGACACACGGAGAGACACACGGGGAGACACACGGAGAGACACACGGAGAGAGACATGGAGAGAGACACGCAGGGAGACACACGGAGAGACACACGTTTCCTATGGGTACACACATTGTCACACGGGAGAGACACACGGGGAAACACACAGAGAGACACATGGAGAGACACACGGAGAGACACACGGGGAGACACACAGAGACACATGGAGAGACACACGGAGAGACACACGGAGAGACACACGGGGAGACACACGGGGAGACACAAGGGGAGACACACGGGGAGACACAAGGGGAGACACACGGGGAGACACAAGGGGAGACACACGTTTCCTATGGGTACGCACATTGTCACACGGGAGAGATACATGGGAGAGACACAAGCGGAGACACACGGGGAGACACACGGAGAAACACACGGAGAGAGACACGCAGGGAGACACACGGAGAGACACACGTTTCCTATGGGTACACACATTGTCACACGGGAGAGACACACGGGGAAACACACAGAGAGACACATGGAGAGACACACGGAGAGACACACGGGGAGACACACAGAGACACATGGAGAGACACACGGAGAGACACACGGAGAGACACACGGGGAGACACAAGGGGAGACACACGGGGAGACACAAGGGGAGACACACGGGGAGACACAAGGGGAGACACACGTTTCCTATGGGTACGCACATTGTCACACGGGAGAGATACATGGGAGAGACACAAGCGGAGACACACGGGGAGACACACGGAGAGACACACGGAGAGAGACACGCAGGGAGACACACGGAGAGACACACGTTTCCTATGGGTACGCACATTGTCAGTAGACCCCCCGCATATGCAAGCGAACGCGTTGGGGTTAACCGCCCCCTCTCCCCTCCATGCGTATGGACACAATGGATGGCCCCTAACGACACTAACCCCCCTAAAGCTAACGACAGTGGGGGGGCGGGGGGGGGTTCTTTGTGTTGTCCCTGCGTCTCTGATTCTTTCGGTAAAGTCACGTGGATAGAAAATTAATAGATCGCGACGTTCCGATCGCGACACAAGCGACCGTCTTCAGGTGAGACAACTGCTGAGGCTGACTTTAACCGAAAGAAGCAAAGATTTATGGATTCCCGCAGTCACGAAAGCTTCCAATCAAGATTGTCCCCGCGTCTCCGTACAGATCCTGCTCCACGTAGACGCTCAGTCCCTGGGCGGAGACTCCGAGCCAGAGGGGGGAGCCCTGCGAGTTGGAGATGGGGAAGAATGAGACCCCATAGGCCTCCAGATCCTGGGCCACGGACAGGTACTCGTTCATGGCCTGCCGCCTGCACACACGGGGAGACACACGGGGAGACACACGGGGGAGACACACAGGGGAGACACATGGGGGAGACACAGGGAGAGACACACGGGGAGACACAGGGAGAGACAGGGGGAGACACACGGGGGAGACACACGGAGAGACACAGGGGAGACACGGGGGAGACACACGGGGAGACACAGGGGGAGATAGGGGGAGACAGGGAGAGACACACGGGGAGACACACGGGGAGACACACGGGGGAGACACACGGGGGAGACACACGGGGGAGACACGGGGGAGACACACGGAGAGACACACGGAGAGACACACGGGGGAGACACAGGGAGAGACACAGGGAGAGACAGGGGGAGACACATGGGGGAGACACACGGGGAGACACAGGGAGAGACACACGGAGAGACACAGGGAGAGACACACGGAGAGACACAGGGAGAGACACAGGGAGAGACAGGGGGAGACACATGGGGGAGACACACGGGGAGACACACGGGGAGACACACGGGGGAGACACGGGGGAGACACGGGGGAGACACGGGGGGAGACACACGGGGAGACACACGGAGAGACACACGGAGAGACACAGGGAGAGACACAGGAGAGACAGGGGGAGACACATGGGGGAGACACACGGGGAGACACACGGGGAGACACGGGGGAGACACGGGGGGAGACACACGGGGAGACACACGGAGAGACACACGGAGAGACACACGGAGAGACAGGGGGAGACACATGGGGGAGACACACGGGGGGAGACACACGGGGAGACACATGGGGGAGACACACGGGGGAGACACACGGAGAGACACACGGAGAGACACACGGAGAGACACACACGGGGAGACACACGGGGAGACACACGGAGAGACACACGGAGAGACACAGGGAGAGACAGGGGGAGACACATGGGGGAGACACACGGGGGGAGACACACGGGGAGACACAGGGAGAGACACAGGGAGAGACAGGGGGAGACACACGGGGAGACACACGGGGAGACACACGGAGAGACACACGGAGAGACACAGGGAGAGACACAGGGAGAGACACAGGGAGAGACAGGGGGAGACACATGGGGGAGACACACGGGGAGACACACGGGGAGACACACGGGGAGACACACGGGGGAGACACGGGGGAGACACGGGGGAGACACGGGGGGAGACACACGGGGAGACACATGGAGAGACACAGTGAGAGACAGGGGGGAGACACATGGGGGAGACACACGGGGGGAGACACACGGGGAGACACATGGGGGAGACACACGGGGGAGACACACGGGGAGACACACGGAGAGACACACGGAGAGACACGGGGGGAGACACACGGGGAGACACACGGAGAGACACAGGGAGAGACACACGGAGAGACACACGGAGAGACATGGGGGTAGACACACGGGGAGACACTCGGAGAGACACACGGAGAGACACAGGGGGAGACACACGGGGAGACACACGGAGAGACACAGGGAGAGACACACGGAGAGACACGGAGAGACACACACGGGGGAGACACACGGAGAGACACACGGAGAGACACACGGGAGAGACACACAGAGAGACATGGGGGGAGACACACGGGGAGACACACGGAGAGACACACGGAGAGACACGGGGGGAGACACACGGGGAGACACACGGAGAGACACAGGGAGAGACACACGGAGAGAGACACACGGAGAGATACATGGGGGAGATACACGGAGAGACACACGGAGAGAGACACACGGAGAGACACACGGAGAGAGACACACGGAGAGAGACACACGGAGAGACACACGGAGAGAGACACACGGAGAGAGACACACGGAGAGACACGGAGAGACACACGGAGAGACACGGAGAGACACACACGGGGGAGACACACGGAGAGACACACACGAGGGAGACACACGGAGAGACACACGGAGAGACACGGAGAGACACGGAGAGACACACACGGGGGAGACACACGGAGAGACACATGGAGAGACACACGGAGAGAGACACACGGAGAGAGACACACGGAGAGACACGGAGAGACACACACGGGGGAAACACACAGAGAGACACACGGAGAGACACACGGAGAGACACGGGGGGAGACACACGGGGAGACACACGGAGAGACACACGGAGAGACACGGGGGGAGACACACGGAGAGACACACGGAGAGACACACGTAAGAGCCAGGTAGCAGCTCAATGGGGCCCTTACTCTGGTGGTAGCAACAAAATGAAAAATAAACAGCTCCTTGTATAGGCGCTGGTGCTCCTCGCCAACAGCACCTTGCCCCAAGAGCCTGCTCGAGGCTACACGGGGGACCTTTGTCTTTGTTGTGAGCGCAGAGCGGCGGTGCCCACCTGCTCATGCCCACGTGCTCCGCGTGCCACCTCGTGACCTTCTCCTCCCACTGCGCGCGGGTCAAGCTGAACTGCTGGACAACCCTGGCGCAGCGGAGAGAGGGCGCAGAGTGTGGGTGGCAACCCCCCCGCGTCTCCCACCCCCCCCCCCGTGTCTCCCCTCTCCCCCCCCGTGTCTCCCCTCTCCCCCCCCCCCGTGTCTCCCTTCCCCCCCCCGTGTCTCCCCTCTCCCCCCCCCGTGTCTCCCCTCTCCCCCCCCCGTGTCTCCCTTCCCCCCCCCGTGTCTCCCTCTCCCCCCCCCGTGTCTCCCCTCTCCCCCCCCCGTGTCTCCCTTCCCCCCCCCGTGTCTCCCTCTCCCCCCCCCCGTGTCTCCCCTCCCCCACCCCGTGTCTCCCCTCTCCCCCCCCCGTGTCTCCCTTCCCCCCCCCCGTATCTCCCTCTCCCCCCCTCGTGTCTCCCCTCTCCCCCCCCGTGTCTCCCTTCCCCCCCCCGTGTCTCCCCTCTCCCCCCCCCGTGTCTCCCCTCTCCCCCCCCCGTGTCTCCCCTCTCCCCCCCCGTGTCTCCCTTCCCCCCCCCCGTGTCTCCCCTTCCCCCCCCGTGTCTCCCTTCCCCCCCCCGTGTCTCCCTTCCCCCCCCCCGTGTCTCCCCTCTCCCCCCCCCGTGTCTCCCTTCCCCCCCCCCGTGTCTCCCCTCTCCCCCCCCCGTGTCTCCCCCTTCCCCCCCCCCGTGTCTCCCTTCCCCCCCCCCGTATCTCCCCTCTCCCCCCCTCGTGTCTCCCCTCTCCCCCCCGTGTCTCCCTTCCCCCCCCCGTGTCTCCCTCTCCCCCCCCCCGTGTCTCCCCTCTCCCCCCCCCCGTGTCTCCCTCTCCCCCCCCCCGTGTCTCCCTTCCCCCCCCCCGTGTCTCCCCCTTCCCCCCCCCGTGTCTCCCTTCCCCCCCCCCCCCGTGTCTCCCTTCCCCCCCCCGTGTCTCCCCTCTCCCCCCCCCGTGTCTCCCTTCCCCCCCCCCGTATCTCCCCTCTCCCCCCCCCCGTGTCTCCCCTCTCCCCCCCGTGTCTCCCCTCTCCCCCCCCCACGTCTCCCTTCCCCCCCCCCGTATCTCCCCTCCCCCCCCCTCGTGTCTCCCCTCTCCCCCCCGTGTCTCCCTTCCCCCCCCGTGTCTCCCCTCTCCCCCCCCCCGTGTCTCCCTCTCCCCCCCCCCACGTCTCCCTTCCCTCCCCCCGTGTCTCCCCTTCCCCCCCTCGTGTCTCCCTCTCCCCCCTCGTGTCTCCCTCTCCCCACCCCCCCCGTGTCTTCCCTCTCCCCCCACCCCCCGTGTCTCCCTCCCCCCACCCCCCGTGTCTCCCCCACCCCCCCCCCCGTGTCTCCCTTCCCCCCCCCCATGTCTCCCCTCTCCCCCCCCCATGTCTCCCTTCCCCCCCCCCGTGTCTCCCTTCCCCCCCCCCGTGTCTCCCCTCTCCCCCCCCGTATCTCCCTTCCCCCCCCGTGTCTCCCCTCTCCCCCACCCCCCGTGTCTTCACCTCTCCCCACCCTCCCCGTGTCTCCCTTCCCCCCCCATGTCTCCCCTCTCCCCCCCCCATGTCTCCCTTCCCCCCACCCCCCCCGTGTCTCCCCTCTCCCCACCCCCCCCGTATCTCCCTTCCCCCCCCGTATCTCCCTTCCCCCCCCGTGTCTCCCTTCCCCCCACCCCCCCGTGTCTCCCCTCTCCCCCACCCTCCCCGCGTCTCACCTCTCGGGCAGGAGCTCCTCGTCACCCTGGTACACGGTTGAGTCGCTGTGGGAGACAGCGCCTCCGGTTAGCGCGGTTGGCTACGCACGGCGCAAAAGAAGTTCAACAAACACCAACACAGAGAGCGGCGGAGCCAGGATGTTCAGGTTGTTGGGGGCGGCAACCCCTCCAGCAATTAAAAAGTATAGAGTTGTTAACATTATGAGACCTCCTTTGCCAGAAACAAGATATAGGAATAGGTTTTTACCCTTTTAACTGGCACACAAAAACTGACACCTTTATTCAAGGCATCATGTTTGCAATAACCACAACACAAGCAGTCAAAATGCAAACAAAAAAGACAACTCTGATAATAATATTGGCACTGTCCTTGAATTTGATTGGTCCACACCCGAGACAGCTTTTCTTAGAGCCCTTAAGTCTCCATTGGTGTTGGACCAGAAGACGCCAAAAGGCATACAACTCAAAAACAGCGCACTATCAGAGTAGTGAGGGCTCGGGGTGAGCATTTACATTATGAGACCTCCTTTGCCAGAAACAAGATATAGGAATAGGTTTTTACCCTTTTAACTGGCACACAAAAACTGACACCTTTATTCAAGGCATCATGTTTGCAATGGCCACAACACAAGCAGTCAAAATGCAAACAAAAAAGACAACTCTGATGATAATAATATTGGCACTGTCCTTGAATTTGATTGGTCCACACCCGAGACGACTTTTCTTAGAGCCTAGTCTCCATTGGTGTTGGACCAGAAGACGCCAAAAGGCGTACAACTCAAAAACAGCGCACTATCAGAGTAGTGAGGGCTCGGGGTGAGCATTTACATTATGAGACCTCCTTTGCCAGAAACAAGATATAGGAATAGGTTTTACCCTTTTAACTGGCACAAAAAATTGACACCTTTATTCAAGGCATCATGTTTGCAATAACCACAACACAAGCAGTCAAAAGCAAACAAAAGAGAAAACTCTGATAATAATATGCACTGTCCTTGAATTTGATTGGTCCACACCCGAGACAGCTTTTCTTAGAGCCCAGTGCCGACTCGGACTGTTGTCCCATCATCTCATAGAGTCCTCGGCCACGTAATAATAATAATAATATGCTACACGGTGGCAGTGGGGGTGAGGTCACAAAATGCCGATTTATTACTAATAAACCCCATCGATATTTGGGATTTTGATCGAATCATTGGGGGGGGGGGCACGTGCCACTCCACCCCCCCCACCCACCCCCCCCCCCCCCCCCCCCCCCACTGCACACACACAGGATGAACCACAGTGCCCTGCCGATCTCATCAGGAGCCGAGACCAGCATCACGCGGAGCTCCGGCGGTCAACCTCGCTGTGGCGTTTGGGTCCCCATCGGGCAACGGCGGTCACCGCTTTCAGATGCGCTGCTTCCGCGGCCGTCTGGAACGCTCTTCTATTAGGAAGCCGCTGGGAGCTATGCCACTCTGTGTGCCTCTATGAGTCTCTATGGGTCTCTATGGGTATTTGTGGGTTATATGGGGTCTCTATAGGTGTCTATGGATCTCTGTGGGTCTCTGTGGGTCTCTATAGGTCTCTGTGGGTTTATCTGGGTCTCTATGAGTCTCTATGGGTATTTGTGGGTTATATGGGGTCTCTATAGGTGTCTATGGATCTATGTGGGTCTCTGTGGGTCTCTATGTGTCTCTATGGGTTTATCTGGGTCTCTATGAGTCTCTATGGGTATTTGTGGGTTATATGGGGTCTCTATAGGTGTCTATGGATCTCTGTGGGTCTCTGTGGGTCTCTATAGGTCTCTGTGGGTTTATCTGGGTCTCTATGAGTCTCTATGGGTATTTGTGGGTTATATGGGGTCTCTATAGGTGTCTATGGATCTCTGCGGGTCTCTGTGGGTCTCTGTGGGTTTATCTGGGTCTCTATGAGTCTCAATGGGTCTCTATGGGTATTTGTGGGTTACATGGGTCTCTATAGGTGTCTATGGATCTCTCTGGGTCTCTGTGGGTCTCTATAGGTCTCTGTGGGTTTATCTGGGTCTCTATGAGTCTCTATGGGTATTTGTGGGTTATATGGGGTCTCTATAGGTGTCTATGGATCTCTGTGGGTCTCTGTGGGTCTCTATGGGTCTCTGTGGGTTTATCTGAGTCCTATGAGTCTCTATGGGTCTTTATGGGTTATGTGGGTCTCTATAGGTGTCTATGGATCTCTGTGGGTCTCTGTGTGTCTCTATGGGTTTATCTGGGTCTCTATGAGTCTCTATGGGTATTTGTGGGTTATATGGGGTCTCTATAGGTGTCTATGGATCTCTGTGGGTCTCTGTGGGTCTCTATGGGTCTCTGTGGGTTTATCTGAGTCCTATGAGTCTCTATGGGTCTTTATGGGTTATGTGGGTCTCTATAGGTGTCTATGGATCTCTGTGGGTCTCTGTGTGTCTCTATGGGTTTATCTGGGTCTCTATGAGTCTCTATGGGTATTTGTGGGTTATATGGGTCTCTATAGGTGTCTATGGATCTCTGTGGGTCTCTGTGGGTCTCTATAGGTCTCTGTGGGTTTATCTGGGTCTCTATGAGTCTCTATGGGTATTTGTGGGTTATATGGGGTCTCTATAGGTGTCTATGGATATCTGTGGGTCTCTGTGGGTCTCTATGGGTCTCTGTGGGTTTATCTGGGTCTCTATGAGTCTCTATGGGTATTTGTGGGTTATATGGGGTCTCTATAGGTGTCTATGGATCTCTGTGGGTCTCTGTGGGTCTCTATGGGTCTCTGTGGGTTTATCTGAGTCCTATGAGTCTCTATGGGTCTTTATGGGTTATGTGGGTCTCTATAGGTGTCTATGGATCTCTGTGGGTCTCTGTGTGTCTCTATGGGTTTATCTGGGTCTCTATGAGTCTCTATGGGTATTTGTGGGTTATATGGGGTCTCTATAGGTGTCTATGGATCTCTGTGGGTCTCTGTGGGTCTCTATGGGTCTCTGTGGGTTTATCTGAGTCCTATGAGTCTCTATGGGTCTTTATGGGTTATGTGGGTCTCTATAGGTGTCTATGGATCTCTGTGGGTCTCTGTGTGTCTCTATTGGTTTATCTGGGTCTCTATGAGACTCTATGGGTCTCTATGGGTATTTGTGGGTTATATGGGGTCTCTATAGGTGTCTATGGATCTCTGTGGGTCTCTGTGGGTCTCTGTGGGTTTCTCTGGGCCTCTGTGGGTCGATAGAAACACGCGTTTAGAGTTCATCGCCTGCTGCTATGCATTCCCACGCGATGACGATGATGACGATGACGATACGCCCGCTTGCTTGAGCTGCTTTCGTTTGCGGCGGTCAGGGTCGCTCCGTCAGAAGAGCCGCTACCACACAGCAAGCACAGCGATTGGGGGGGGGGCCTTACACCCGGTGGTGACATCAACAAAACAAAAACCTTCTTTGGTTCTTTCGGTAAAGTCACCACCACGTAGAATGAGAAAAAAAATAATAAATTGATAAAATAAAATAACACAATAAAATTCTCACGACGTTTCGGCGACAACACAAGCGGCCTTCATCAGGTGAAGGGACGAGACTGTCTGGTAGGACAGCGCTGGAGCGAACACAGCCAAGCTCAGACCGCGACCTTCAAGCTTAGAGTCGCGGCATCTCTTCAGAAAGGTGAGAGACTCGATTAGTTGAGCCTTCTTATCCCGGAGTCTGTTGAATGATCCTAAGGTTGCGTGGAATCCCTCCCACGTAGAGGCGGTTAAATTTCGATTTGAAGCTTTCGTGACTGCAAGGATTCATCTTCTTTGGTTCTTTCGGGTAAAGTCACATTACATGGCCGTGAGCGGTGTACGAGGTTGGGTGTGACCTTACCGAGAGAACCAAAGAAGATGAATCCTTGCAGTCACGAAAGCTTTAAGTCGAAAACAAAAACCGCATTCTCTCCTTGCACCGTGTCTCCCTTCCCGTGCCTCTCCACGGCTCCAGACGCGTCTGCCCCCCACTCCACCCCACCCCCCAGCGTCTACCTCAGGTCCCCGTGCGTTGCCTGCGCCGCGTACGACGCGAGGAGCACGCAGGTCTCCGTCGGGCAGCGGAGGGCGTCGCTGATCACGGCGCGATGCGTCTGCAGGTAGAGCAACCTGTGGATTGGTGTGGGGGGAGATTAAAAGATTGTCCCGCGTGGCCCTAGTCAGAGCGTCACGTGCCGAGGTAGCAGCGCCCTGTGGTACATGGGGGGGGGGGGGGGGAGGGGGGAGGGGCAGATTGGGTGGCCGGCACCACGCCCGGCCGCCTTTGTCTCCCCCCCCCCCCCCCCCCAGTGCGGGTGTCTTATCACAAACCGCGCCACCGGTGCTCATGTTCAGGCCGAGTCGACCTCGGGGAAGTCCCAGGCCCAGGTCCGATATTCGCCGAGGCTGTTGTTGGCCGTGAGCGGTGAACGAGGTTGGGTGTTTGCGGGGTGGCCCTATCTGGTTCACGGTGGCCGTGTCAGGTTAACGGTGGTAGTGTGGGGTTCACAGTGGCCGTGTCAGGTGCATAGTGGCCGTGTCAGGTTCACGGTGGCCGTGTCAGGTTCACGGTGGCCGTGTGGTGTCCATGGTGGCCGTGTCAGGTTCACGGTGGTAGTGTGGGGTTCACGGTGGCCGTGTCAGGCGCACAGTGGCCATGTCAGGTTCACAGTAGCCGTGTCAGGCGCACAGTGGCCGTGTGGTGTTCACGGTGGCCGTGTCAGGTTCACGGTGGCCGTGTCAGGTTCACGGTGGCCGTGTCAGGTTCACGGTGGCCGTGTCAGGCGCACAGTGGCCGTGTGGTGTCCACGGTGGCCGTGTCAGGTTCACGGTGGTAGTGTGGTGTTCACGGTGGCCGTGTCAGGTTCACGGTGGCCGTGTGGTGTCCACGGTGGCCGTGTCAGGCGCACAGTGGCTGTGTCAGGCGCACAGTGGCCGTGTCAGGTTCACGATGGCCGTGTCGGGTTCACGGTGGCCATGTCAGGTCAACAGTGGCCGTGTCAGGTTCACAGTGGCCGTGTCAGGCGCACAGTGGCCGTGTGGTGTCCACGGTGGCCGTGTCAGGTTCACAGTGGCCGTGTCAGGTGCACGGTGGCTGTGTCAGGTTCACGGTGGCCGTGTCAGGATCACGGTGGCCGTGTGGTGTCCATGGTGGCCGTGTCAGGTTAACAGTGGCCATGTCAGGTGCACGGTGGTAGTGTGGGGTTCACGGTGGCCGTGTCAGGCGCACAGTGGCCATGTCAGGTTCACAGTGGCCGTGTCAGGTTCACGGTGGCCGTGTCAGGTGCACAGTGGCCGTGTCAGGTTCACGGTGGCCATGTCAGGTTCACAGTGGCCGTGTCAGGCGCACAGTGGCTGTGTCAGGCGCACAGTGGCCGTGTCAGGTGCACAGTGGCCGTGTCAGGTTCACGGTGGCCGTGTCAGGCGCACAGTGGCCGTGTCAGGTTCACGGTGGCCGTGTCAGGCGCACAGTGCCCGTGTGGTGTCCACGGTGGCCGTGTCAGGCGCACAGTGGCCGTGTCAGGTTCACGGTGGCCGTGTCAGGTTCACGGTGGCCGTGTCAGGTGCACAGTGGCCGTGTCAGGTTCACGGTGGCCGTGTCAGGTGCACAGTGGCCATGTCAGGTGCACAGTGGCCATGTCAGGCTCACGGTGGCCGTGTCAGGCGCACAGTGGCTGTGTCAGGCGCACAGTGGCCGTGTCAGGTTCACGGTGGCCGTGTCAGGTTCGCGGTGGCCGTGTCAGGTTCACGGTGGCCGTGTCAGGTGCACAGTGGCCGTGTCAGGTTCACGGTGGCCGTGTCAGGTTCACGGTGGCCGTGTCCGGCACACAGTGGCCGTGTCAGGTTCACGGTGGCCGTGTCAGGTTCACGGTGGCCGTGTCAGGTGCACAGTGGCCGTGTCAGGTTCACGGTAGCCGTGTCAGGTTCACGGTGGCCGTGTCAGGTGCACAGTGGCCGTGTCAGGTTCACGGTTGCCGTGTGGTGTTCACGGTGGCTGTGTCAGGTTCACGGTGGCCGTGTCAGGTTCACGGTGGCCGTGTCAGGTGCACAGTGGCCGTGTCAGGTGCACAGTGGCCGTGTCAGGTGCACAGTGGCCGTGTCAGGTTCACGGTGGCCGTGTCAGGTCAACAGTGGCCGTGTCCGGCACACAGTGGCCGTGTGGTGTCCACGGTGGCCGTGTTAGGCGCACAGTGGCCGTGTCAGGTTCACGGTGGCCGTGTCAGGTGCACAGTGGCCGTGTCAGGTGCACAGTGGCCGTGTCAGGTGCACAGTGGCCGTGTCAGGTTCACGGTGGCCGTGTCAGGTCAACAGTGGCCGTGTCCGGCACACAGTGGCCGTGTGGTGTCCACGGTGGCCGTGTCAGGCGCACAGTGGCCGTGTCAGGTTCACGGTGGCCGTGTCAGGTGCACAGTGGCCGTGTCAGGTGCACAGTGGCCGTGTCAGGTGCACAGTGGCCGTGTCAGGTTCACGGTGGCCGTGTCAGGTCAACAGTGGCCGTGTCCGGCACACAGTGGCCGTGTGGTGTCCACGGTGGCCGTGTCAGGCGCACAGTGGCCGTGTCAGGTTCACGGTGGCCGTGTCAGGTGCACAGTGGCCGTGTCAGGTGCACAGTGGCCGTGTCAGGTTCACGGTGGCCGTGTCAGGTGCACAGTGGCCGTGTCAGGTGCACAGTGGCCGTGTCAGGTTCACGGTAGCCGTGTCAGGTTCACGGTGGCCGTGTCAGGTTCACGGTGGCCGTGTCAGGTCAACAGTGGCCGTGTCAGGTGCACAGTGGTCGTGTCAGGTTCACGGTGGCCGTGTCAGGTGCACAGTGGCCGTGTCAGGTGCACAGTGGCCGTGTCAGGTGCACAGTGGCCGTGTCAGGTGCACAGTGGCCGTGTCAGGTTCACGGTGGCCGTGTCCCAGGTTCCCAATGGTCGACCTCAGAGTCACGTCCTGGATGATCTCGTCCACGTCTTCTGGGTAGAAGCGAACCCAGAGGCGCAGCGTGGCCACGGCACTTGCGTCGCCCTTCACCTGCGACAGCACCTGGGGCACAGCGCCAGCAGTAGGAGCAGCACGTCTCGCTATGTGTACGTGTGTGTGTGTATACACACGTGTGTGTGTGTGTACGTGTGTGTGACAGTGCTGTGGGGGGAGGTCCAATTTTGATTGGCTCCTCCCCTCATGGCAAATGTGTCCACCACAGGGGCTAAACGGGCGCTCTGGACGGGTGCGAGGGGCTGGTAACCCCTCGACCTTCAATTAATTACCACGAAACCACGAGTTACCCGTGGCACCTGGGTCTGCCCCGTGACTTCCTGCCAACGGGCGTTCGACACTTCACGTGGCCTCAGGGTACACATAGCCTGGCACAAGCGTCGTGGTGACGTCATCGCCACTTAGTGGCGAATGGCGGTTGTTGTTGTGTATATACACGTGTGTGTGTACGTGTGTGTATGTACACACGTGTGTGTCTGTGAGTACAAGTGTGTGTGTACGTGTGTGTGTATATACACACGTGTGTGTGTGTATATATACACGTGTGTGTGTACGTGTGTGTGTGTGTATCTGTGTGTACAAGTGTGTGTGTGTGTATACACACGTGTGTGTGTGTGTGCACACGTGTCTGTGTGTACAAGTGTGTGTGTACACACGTGTCTGTGTGCGACCAAACCTTCTTGTTGAAGGACAGCCACTTGGCTCCGTGTTTGTTGTCGTAAGCGAGCCCGAAATACCAGACCTCCTTGAGACCGATGGTGCGAGCGACCTGCGAGCGGGCCGAGACACGCGGTGGCGACGGTGGGGACACGGGGGAGACGAGAGGAGACACGGGGGAGACGAGAGGAGACACGGGGGAGACGAGAGGAGACACGAGGGAGACGAGAGGAGACACGGGGGAGACGAGTGGGGACACGGGGGAGACGAGAGGAGACACGGGGGAGACGAGAGGAGACACGGGGGAGACGAGTGGAGACACGGGGGAGACGAGAGGAGACACGGGGGAGACGAGAGGAGACACGGGGAGACGAGTGGAGACACGGGGGAGACGAGTGGAGACACGGGGGAGACGAGAGGAGACACGGGGAGACGAGAGGAGACACGGGGGAGACGAGAGGAGACACGCGGTGGCGACGGTGGGGACACGGGGGAGACGAGAGGAGACACGGGGGAGACGAGAGGAGACACGGGGAGACGAGAAGAGACATGGGGGAGACGAGAGGAGACACGGGGGAGACGAGTGGAGACACGGGGGAGACGAGAGGAGACACGGGGGAGACGAGAGGAGACACGGGGAGACGCGTGGAGACACGGGGGAGACGAGTGGAGACACGGGGGAGACGAGAGGAGACACGGGGAGACGAGAGGAGACACGGGGGAGACGAGAGGAGACACGCGGTGGCGACGGTGGGGACACGGGGGAGACGAGAGGAGACACGGGGGAGACGAGAGGAGACACGGGGAGACGAGAAGAGACATGGGGGAGACGAGAGGAGACACGGGGGAGACGAGTGGAGACACGGGGGAGACGAGAGGAGACACGGGGGAGACGAGAGGAGACAAGGGGAGACGAGTGGAGACACGGGGGAGACGAGAGGAGACACGGGGGAGACGAGAGGAGACACGGGGAGACGAGTGGAGACACGGGGAGACGAGTGGAGACACGGGGGAGACGAGTGGAGACACGGGGGAGACTGGATTGAGTCCTCCAATTACAACCATCTGCCTGGAGCGCGACCTGTCATGCGGGGGGGAAGGGCGGTGCTACCCGAGGGGTGGGCAGGGCTACCTGGGTGGTGGGCGGGGCTACCTGGGCGGTGGGCGGGGCTATCAGAGAGGTGGGAGGCGTTGATAGGGGAGTGGGCGGGATTAGCGGAGGAGTGGGCAGGGCCTATGAGCAATGGGCACCGCCCTAGGTCGCCTCGGTCTTGAATGAGCAAACTGGGGTAGCGGTGTGCAAGTGAACATCAACAATGGGGAGACAAAGGCGGCCGGGCGTGGTGCTGGTCACCCACCCCCTCCGTGCGCCGTTCCGGCCTTCATCGGTGCTGCTGCTCGCTAACAGCAACTTGCCCCACCGGCAGTGCCGCATGAAAGCGAAGTGAGGGGCCCGTAGAAAAAATGTTGTTATAAAGGGGGGCCTAAATAAATAAATGAACACTTAACTATTAAAACACGAATGTTTAACTTGCACAGTAAAGTAATTGGATTTTTTCCATTTGCTATGGAGACAGATAATACGACAAATCGCCAACCTTAAACACCCCGGTCGTTCATCAAAGTTGAAGGCGGTGTAGTACTATAGTGATAGAGCAAGTGCAGCATTAATGAACCGGAATTGATAGCTTGAAAGCGTTTAGCGCTGGGCCCTTGAAAGTGCGGGGCCCCGTAGATACTACGTGTAGCTTGTAGTAGCTACTACATACAAGTAGCTACTACATACTACACATGTGTAGTAGCTACTACACGTGTTGTAGCTACTACACGTGTTGTAGCTACTACATGTGTAGCTACTACATGTGTAGCTACAACATTTGTAGCTACTACATACGCAGCTACTACATACGCAGCTACTACATGCGTAGCTACTACATGCGTAGCTACACCATACGGAGCTACTACATGTGTAGCTACTACATACGCAGCTACTACATGCGTAGCTACAACATGTGTACCTACAACATGTGTAGCTACAACATGTGTAGCTACAACATGTGTACCTACTACATATGCAGCTACTACATACGCAGCTACTACATGCGTAGCTACAACATGCGTAGCTACACCATACGCAGCTACAACATGTGTAGCTACTACATGCGCAGCTACAACATGTGTAGCTACTACATACGCAGGTACTACATGTTGTAGCTACTACATGCGTAGCTACTACATACGCAGCTACTACATGCGTAGCTACAACATGCGTAGCTACTACATATGCAGCTACTACATGCATAGCTACAACATGCGTTGCTACACCATACGCAGCTACTACATGTGTAGCTACTACACACGCAGCTACTTTTGCTACGAAGATCATCCGGCACTGCCCAGCGGTCCGTTTGAGGCTCTACGGAGGATTTTTGTCGCTGTGTGTCTACACCTGGTCTAGAAATCCACACCTGGTCTAGAAGTCCACACCTGGTCTAGAAGTTCACACCTGGTCTAGAAGTCCACACGTGGTCTAGAAGCCCACACCTGATCTAGAAGTCCACACCTGGTCTAGAAGTCCACACCTGGTCTAGAAGTCCACACCTGGTCTAGAAGTCCACACCTGGTCTAGAAGAAGTCCACACCTGGTCTAGAAGTTCACACCTGGTCTAGAAGTCCACACCTGGTCTAGAAGTCCACACCTGGTCTAGAAGTCGACACGTGGTCCAGAAGCCCACACCTGGTCTAGAAGTCCACACCTGGTCTAAAAGTCCACACCTGGTCTAGAAGAAGTCCACACCCGGTCTAGAAGTCCACACCTGGTCTAGAAGTTCACACCTGGTCTAGAAGTCCACACGTGGTCTAGATGCCCACACCTGGTCTAGAAGTCCACACGTGGTCTAGAAGTCTACACGTTGTCTAGAAGTCCACACCTGGTCTAGAAGTCCACACCTGGTCTAGAAGTCCACAGCTGGTCTAGAAGCCCACAGCTGGCCTAGAAGCCCACACCTGGTCTAGAAGTCCACACGTGGTCTAGAAGTCCACACGTGGTCTAGAAGTTCACACCTGGTCTAGAAGTCCACACGTGGTCTAGAAGTTCACACCTGGTCTAGAAGTCCACACCTGGTCTAGAAGTCCACATGTGGTCTACAAGTCCACACGTGGTCTAGAAGTTCACACCTGGTCTAGAAGTCCACACCTTGTCTAAAAGTCCACACCTGGTCTAGAAGTTCACACCTGGCCTAGAAGTCCACACGTGGTCTAGAAGTCCACACGTGGTCTAGAAGTCCACACGTGGTCTAGAAGTCCTCACCTGATCTAGAAGTTGTTTTCCAGTGGCGGTTGGCTGGATTTCAAAATCCATGTCGGCGTCCATCGTTAGGACCCTGACGGCGACCTGAACAAGAATAACACGGATACACACACACACACACGTGTAGAGATACACATACACACACGTGTAGAGACACACACACACGTGTAGAGATACACACACACACGTGTAGAGATACACACACACACACGTAGAGATACACACACGTGTAGAGATACACATACACACAGGTGTAGAGATGCACACACACACGTGTAGAGACACACACGTGTAGAGATACACACACACACGTGTAGAGATACACACACACACGTGTAGAGACACACACGTAGAGATACACACACACGTATAGAGATACGCACACACGTGTAGAGATACACACACGTGTAGAGATACACACACACACACGTGTAGAGATACACACACACACGTGTAGACACACACACACGTGTAGAGACACACACGTAGAGATACACACACACGTGTAGAGATACGCACACACGTATAGAGATACACACACACGTGTAGAGATACACACACACGTGTAGAGATACACACACACGTGTAGAGATACACATACACACACGTGTAGAGACACACATACACACACGTGTAGAGATACACACACACGTGTAGAGATACACACACACGTGTAGAGACACACACACGTGTACAGATACACACACGTGTAGAGACACACACACGCGTGTACAGATACACACACACACGTGTAGAGACACACACACACACGTGTAGAGATACACACACACACGTGTAGAGACACACACGTGTAGAGATACACACACGTGTAGAAATACACACACGTGTAGAGATACACACACACGTGTAGAGACACACACACGTGTAGAGATACACACACACGTGTAGAGATACACACACGTGTAGAGATACACCCACACACGTAGCGATACACACACACGTGTAGAGATACACACACATACACGTGTAGAGATACACACACGTGCAGAGATACGCACACACGTGTAGAGATACACACACACGTGTAGAGATACACACACACACACGTGTAGAGATACACACACTCACGTGTAGAGATACATGGAAGTCGTAGTCTGCCTCTATTGTACCCTATGGGAGCTATAGTCTGGCTCTATTGAACCCTATGGGAGCCATAGTCTGGCTCTATTGAACCCTATGGGAGCCATAGTCTGGCTCTATTGACCCCTATGGGAGCCGTAGTCTGACTCTATTGAACCCTATGGGAGCCATAGTCTGGCTCTATTGAACCCTATGGGAGCTATAATCTGGCTCTATTGAACCCTATAGGAGCCGTAGTCTGGCTCTATTGAACCATATGGGAGCTATAGTCTGGCTCTATTGAACCCAATGGGAGCCGTAGTCTGGCTCTATTGAACCCTATGGGAGCTATAGTTTGGCTCTATTGAACCCTATGGGAGCCGTAGTCTGGCTCTATTGAACCCTATGGGAGCTATAGTCTGACTCTATTGAACCCCTATTGGAGCCATAGTCTGGCTCTATTGTACCCTATGGGAGCTATAGTCTGGCTCTATTGAACCCTATGGGAGCCATAGTCTGGCTCTATTGAACCCTATGGGAGCCGTAGTCTGGCTCTATTGAACCCTATGGGAGCCATAGTCTGACTATATTGTACCCTATGGGAGCTATAGTCTGGCTCTATTGAACCCTATGGGAGCTATAGTCTGGCTCTATTGAACCCTATGGGAGCTATAGTCTGGCTCTATTGAACCCTATGGGAGCTATAGTCTGGCTCTATTGAACCCTATGGGAGCCATAGTCTGGCTCTATTTAACCCTATGGGAGCCATAGTCTGGCTCTATTGAACCCTATGGGAGCCGTAGTCTGACTCTATTGAACCCCTATGGGAGCCGTAGTCTGACTATTGTACCCTATGGGAGCCGTAGTCGGGCTCTATTGAACCCTATGGGAGCCATAGTCTGGCTCTATTGAACCCTATGGGAGCTATAGTCTGGCTCTATTGAACCCTATGGGAGCTATAGTCTGGCTCTATTGAACCCTATGGGAGCTATAGTCTGGCTCTATTGAACCCTATGGGTGCCATAGTCTGACTCCATTGAACCCTATGGGAGCCGTAGTCTGGCTCTATTGAACCCTATGGGAGCTATAGTCTGGCTCTATTGTACCCTATGGGAGCTATAGTCTGACTCTATTGAACCCCTATTGGAGCCGTAGTCTGGCTCTATTGAACCCTATGGGAGCTATAGTCTGGCTCTATTGAACCCTATGGGAGCCGTAGTCTGGCTCTATTGAACCCTATGGGAGCCATAGTCTGACTCTATTGAACCCTATGGGAGCTATAGTCTGGCTCTATTGAACCCTATGGGAGCTATAGTCTGGCTCTATTGAACCCTATGGGAGCCATAGTCTGACTCTATTGAACCCTATGGGAGCCGTAGTCTGGCTCTATTGAACCCTATGGGAGCCATAGTCTGACTCTATTGAACCCTATGGGAGCCATAGTTTGGCTCTATTGAACCCTATGGGAGCTATAGTCTGGCTCTATTGAACCCTATGGGAGCCGTAGTCTGGCTCTATTGAACCCTATGGGAGCTATAGTCTGGCTCTATTGAACCCTATGGGAGCTATAGTCTGGCTCTATTGAACCCAATGGGAGCCGTAGTCTGGCTCTATTGAACCCTATGGGAGCTATAGTCTGGCTCTATTGTACCCTATGGGAGCTATAGTCTGGCTCTATTGTACCCTATGGGAGCCGTAGTCTGGCTCTATTGAACCCTATGGGAGCGATAGTCTGACTCTATGAACCTTATGGGAGCCATAGTCTGACTCTATTGTACCCTATGGGAGCTATAGTCTGGCTCTATTGAACCCTATGGGAGCCATAGTCTGACTATTGTACCCTATGGGAGCCGTAGTCTGGCTCTATTGAACCCTATGGGAGCCATAGTCTGACTCTATTGAACCCAATGGGAGCCGTAGTCTGGCTCTATTGAACCCTATGGGAGCTATAGTCTGACTATTGTACCCTATGGGAGCTATGGTCTGGCTCTATTGAACCCCTCTATGTGGCTCTATGAGTCTCACCGGGTCAGGCATGGCGAGGGCTGTTGTTGCCGGAAGTCTGCGGAGAAAAGAAGACACAGTCACACCCGAGACGCTGCACCGTAAACACCTCGCACGGGCCTCCGTTAGGTCGACTCAGCCTCAGATGAGTACTGTACCTGGTAGACAGAAGCACTGGGGGAGACAAAGGCGGCCGGGCATGGCGATTCCCACCCCCCCCCCCCCCCTTACCTGAGCTACATAGCCACTTAGATTACCAGGTAAGGCCCATTGAGTTGTGTAGCTCTTTCTCAGAAGCTACCCTGGAATTTCATAGCAGCAGCCAAAATACTCCCAACGCGTTTTAGAGATTCCCTTATTTTACTTTTTTTTAATCAGAAAGAACAAAAGTTCACGCACTTAATCGTCTACGAGAGGAAGCTCTGCCAGCTTTTACCGTTTTCGAATTATTCAGATGGGAACGTCGTAAAATCCGTAACTTTTTTCGTTCACAACCTCTGCTTGTCTCCGAAGCATCCGAACAATTAATAAAATATAGCACAATGGTTTTCATACTCCTTGGTTCCTCTCGGTAAAGCCACGTAGGTAGCAAATTAATAGGTCACGACGTTTCGATCGCAACACAAGCAACCCCCCTTCAGGTGAGACGGACACAGCAGGAGAACTGCTGACGTAGAGTTTATTTACGCTTTTGGTGGGTCCAACCCAAGGGTAAGTGGGCAAAAACGCAATCTTGTGTTGTGAATCGTTTCTGAATGACACCACACACACACGCGCACACACAAAGGTGTTTAAGGGTCACTGTTGTTTGCGTTCTAAAATCTACCCACGTACCATACCTTGTCTGGAAGTTCCCTAGAGGGTTTTTGAGACATACAGATGAATTACCCAACCGGCAATGGATACCCATTGTTATTTACATGCATTCTCGAAGGGATCCCAAGTGACGTCATCACATCTGCGCCTCTATTTAAGGAACGACGCGGTTAGACTTCTTCACAAAGCTGGCTGTTGCCTGATGAAGCTGGTTGTGATTACTGGCGAAACGTCGGTTAGGGCTCGAATTGGCACGGTCTGTTTACGTGACAAACCTAATAATTGGCTGTGTAGGGTGGTGGTGGGTTACACGACACATTGAGATTTACACAACCTAACCCCCCCCCCCAAAAAAACTATGTTATAGCTTTCGATTTAAAGCTTTCGTGACTGCAGGGATTCATATTCTTGGTTCTTTCGGTAAAGTCACCACGTAGAAGGGAAACAATAAAATAATAAAAACATTTAAACAACAATAAATTTTTGTTCAAATTTTCTTGTTGATGATTGCTTGTGTCGCAGTCGAAACGTCGTGAGAATTTTATTGTTTCATATTTTTAATATTTTATTGTTTCCCTTCTACGTGACTTTACCGAAAGAACCAAGAATATGTTATAGCTGTTAAGATGTTCAAACACCAAATCGTTTGCATGTTTTGCAAAAGATTTGTTGACACAAGTATGGGTGGCTGATGCAGACTTGATGACACCTTGCAAAAGGTGTGTGTGTGTATATCTATTTGGTATTTGAACGTCTTAACACAACTCGTGTGTTATTGCCAGCAAGGATACAACACCTATTGTGTGTTTGATACTGGCAAAAAGGTGTCCCATAGATACAACTTCTCAACCCAAGTTATTAATACTTTGGCATTGCCTCTGTGATGTTTGACTTTTGGCGGTGTTCTCTGGTCTACTGACACTGCTGGTGAGACTAGACCTTGAAGAAGGTTGTCTCTGGTGTAGGCCAATCAGTTTCAAAGACAATGCCACGTGACACTCTAGTTACATTATTATTCAAGACAATGCACACATAAGTACTAATATAGTATTATTACTATACTGGTCTACTGACACTGCTGGTGAGACTAGACCATGAAGAAGGTTGTCTCTCGTATAGGCCAATCAGTTTCAAAGACAATGCCACGTGACACTCTAGTTACATTATTAAAGTGAATGCATACATAAGTACTAATATAGTATTATTACTATACTGGTCTACTGACACTGATAGCGAGACAAGACCTTGAAGAAGGTTGTCTCTGGTGTAGGCCAATCAGTTTCAAAGACAATGCCATGTAACATTATAGTTACATTATTATTCAAGACGATGCATACATAAGTACTAATATAGTATTATTACTATACTGGTCTACTGACACTGCTGGTGAGACTAGACCTTGAAGAAGGTTGTCTCTGGTGTGGGCCAATCAGTTTCAAGGACAATGCCCTCTATAATGTTTGTTTGCACGTTTTGCCACAAGTTTGTGTGGTTATTTGCAGACTTGATGATGCCTTGCAAAAGGTGTGTGTGTGTGCGTGTCTATTTGGCGTTCGAACATCTTAACGCAACTCCTGCTCTTATATCATGGCCAGAAAGAATTCAACACCTATTCAGATCTTTAATCTGTTTTTGATTCTGGCAAGAACAAAGGTTCCAGAGAGAGACATATATCTGCAAGTATTCTGTGTAGGCGCGCGCCTGTGTGTGTGTAATTGTGCCAACGTGTACACGTCTGTGTGTGTGTCAAGGCCGTATATTATAATAAATATTGGGGGGGGGACACATCCCCCCCCCTCCCCAATATTAAAATATGCTCAAAATGTCCCCCACACCAATATATTGCTATAAAATAGATTTCTGTTTATATGATTGTGGTTATGGTTGTGCTTTATCAATCCCTAATCGCTGCCATTACATACAATGAAAAAATAAAAAGATTAAAAAAAAGTTTAAAAAAACAGAGCAATGGAATACAATAACACTCTTAGACATTATTTTAAATAAATAAACAAGTCTGACGTTGTCTCCGTGATGCGTGTGCATACATATTGTATAATAGCGCATGGAGCGCATGCACCTAGCCTGGCACAAGCGCCGTGGTAGCCGTCACCGCAGCTCGGTTAGCAGCGAATGGTGCTCGGGGTCGTTGTTGTTGCTGCTGTCGTGTCAACGTGTGACGTTCACTTACTGAGATGTGAGACAAAGACGGGCCCGGGAACGTTGTACGCGTTGCTGCCCAAACGACACCACCGCCAGCCACGGACTTGACTGTAGCGTTAATAGGCGCTCGCTAACTCGGGCGCTTGGCACCACCGATGGGAGTCCACTTCGCCCCTCGTGTTCCGCAGCCGAGACCTCTCGGGCCGGGTCCAAGGTTCGCACGGAACATCTTGCTTGCCTAGACACCCGCAACGCCCTTTGGACATTGCCCCTTGCCAGAGTTGTGGGTGAGCGGGTAGGCGAGGTGGGTGATTGGTGGGTGAGTGGGTGGTTCAGTGTGTGGGTGAGTAGGTGGGTAGGTGAGTGGGTGATTGGTGGGTGATTGGGAGAGTTAGTGAGTGAGTGGGTGGTTGAGTGTGTGAGTAAGTGGGTGGGTAGGTGAGTGTGTGATTGGTGGGTGAGTGGGTGATTGGGAGAGTGCGTGGGTGGGTGGTTGAGTGTGTGAGTGAGTAAGTAGGTGGGTAGGTGAGTGGGTTATTGGTGGGTGAGTGGGTGATTGGGAGAGTGAGTGGGTGGGTGGTTGAGTGTGTGAGTAAGTGGGTGGGTAGGTGAGTGGGTGATTGGTGGGTGAGTGGGTGATTGGGAGAGTGCGTGAGTGGGTGGTTGAGTGTGTGAGTGAGTAAGTGGGTGGGTAGGTGAGTGGGTGATTGGTGGGTGAGTGGGTGATTGGGAGAGTGCGTAGGTGGGTGGTTGAGTGTGTGAGTGAGTAAGTGGGTGGGTAGGTGAGTGGGTGATTGGTGGGTGAGTGGGTGATTGGGAGGGTGCGTGAGTGGGTGGTTGAGTGTGTGAGTGAGTAAGTGGGTGGGTAGGTGAGTGGGTGATTGGTGGGTGAGTGGGTGATTGGGAGAGTGCGTGGGTGGGTGGTTGAGTGTGTGAGTGAGTAAGTGGGTGGGTAGGTGAGTGTGTGATTGGTGGGTGAGTGGGTGATTGGGAGAGTGCGTGGGTGGGTGGTTGAGTGTGTGAGTGAGTAAGTGGGTGGGTAGGTGAGTGGGTGATTGGTGGGTGAGTGGGTGATTGGGAGAGGGAGTGAGTGGGTGGTTGAGTGTGTGAGTGAGTGAGTTGGTGAGTGGGTGATTGGGTAATTGGGAGAGTGAGTGGGTGAGTGAGTGGTTGAGTGAGTGAGTGGGTAGGTGAGTGGATGATTGGGAGAGTGAGTGAGTGGTTGAGTGTGTGTGTGAGTGAGTGGGTAGGTGAGTGACTGGGAAAGTGAGTGGTTGAGTGTGTGAGTGGGTGGGTAGGTGAGTGGGTGAGTGGGAGAGTGAGTGAGTGGTTCAGTGTGTGAGTGAGTGACTGGGTAGGTGAGTGTGTGAGTGAGTAAGTTGGTGAGTGGGTGATTGGGTGATTGGGAGAGTGAGTGGGTGAGTGAGTGGTTGAGTGAGTGGGTAGGTGAGTGGGTGATTGGGAGAGTGAGTGGTTGAGCGTGTGTGTGAGTGAGTGGGTAGGTGAGTGACTGGGAAAGTGAGTGGTTGAGTGTGTGAGTGGGTGGGTAGGTGAGTGGGTGATTGGGAGAGTGAGTGGGTGGTTGAGTGTGAGAGTGAGTGGGTGGGTAGGTGAGTGAGCGATTGGGAGAGTGAGTCAGTGTGTGGTTGAGTGTGTGAGTGAGTGGGTGGGTAGGTGAGTGAGCGATTGGGAGAGTGAGTAGGTGGTTAAGTGTGTGAGTGAGTGGGTGGGTAGGTGAGTGGGCGATTGGGTGAGTGAGTCAGTGGGTGGTTGAGTGTGTGAGTGAGTAGGTGGGTGGGTAGGTGAGTGGTTGAGTGAGTGAGTGGGTAGGTGAGTGGATGATTGGGAGAGTGATTGAGTGGTTGAGTGTGTGAGTGAGTGGGTGGGTAGGTGAGTGGGTGGGTACGTGGGTGATTGGGAGAGTGAGTCAGTGGATGGTTGAGTGTGTGAGTGGGTGGTTGGGTAGGTGAGTGGGTGATTGGGACAGTGGGTGGTTGAGTGTGTGAGTGAGTGAGTGGGTAGGTGCGTCGAGCGATTTGAGGGTTGGAGAGGGGAGAGAGTGGAGAGAATGGGTGAGCAGTGTATAGGTGAATGGGTGAATGAGTGTTTGGGTGAGTGGTGGGTAGGTGAGTAAATGAGATTTTGAGTGGCTGGTTTTATTGGTGAGTGGGTGTAAAGATGAGTACTCTGAGTCAGTGATTGGGAGGGTTAATGTACGTTCGTGGGATGGGTGATTGGTTACGTGGGGAGCGGTGGCCGAGTGGTTAGCGCACTGCACACCAGCTACTCGCTTAAGGCTGAGTAAACATCAGCACTGGGGAGACAAAGGCGGCCGGGCGTGGTGCTGGTCTCACCACCTCCCTCGTGTGCCGTGCCAACCTTCATAGGTGCTACTCGCTAACAGCACTTGCCCCAACAGTCTGTTAAGGCTATAAGGGGGGTCTTTGTCTTTGTGTGGGTGAGTGAATGTATGGATGAGCGAGTGAAAGTGTAAGTGTATGGTTGAGCGAGTGAATGAATGAGAGTGTGAGTGAGTGTTTGGTTGAATGAGAGTGTGTGAGTGACAGTGAGTGAGAGTGAGTGAGTGAGAGTGAGAGTGAGTGGTTGAGTTAGTGAGTGTGTGAGTGAAAATGGTTGAGTGAGAGTGAATAAGTTTATGGTTGAGTGAGTGAGAGTGAGTGAGAGTGTGTGAGTGTATGGTTGAGTGAGTGAGTGAGAGTGAGTGAGTGACAGTGTGTGGGTGAGTGAGTGAGTTAGTGACAGTGAGTGAGTGACAGTGAGTGTATGGTTGAGTGAGTGAGTGAGAGTGAGTGACAGTGTGTGAGTGTATGGTTGAGTGAGTGAGTGTGAGTGACAGTGTGTGAGCGTATGGTTGAGTGAGTGAGAGTGAGTGGGAGTGTGTGAGTGTATGGTTGAGTGAGTGAGAGTGAGTGAGTGACAGTGTGTGAGTGAGTATGGTTGAATGAGAGTGTGAGTGAGTGAGTTAGTGTGAGTGAATATGGTTGAGTGAGTGTATGAGTGTGAGTGTGTGAGTGTAGGGTTGAGTGAGAGTGTGAGTGTAGGGTTGAGTGAGAGTGTCTAAGTGAGTAACAGTGTGTGAGTGAGTGTAGGGTTGAGTGAGTGAGAGTGTGTGAGTGTATGGTTGAGTGAGTGAGAGTGAGTTAGAGAGAGAGTGAGTGTGAGTGAGTAAGAGTGAGTGAGAGTGAGTGAGTTTATGGTTGAGTGAGTGTGAGTGAGTGAGAGTGTGAGTGAGTGAGAGTGAGTGAGAGTGAGTGAGTGAGTGTATGGTTGAGTGAGTGAGAGTGTGTGAGTGAGTGTGAGTGAGTGAGTGCGTGAGTGTGAGTGAGTGAGTGTGAGAGAGTGAGAGTATGTGAGGGAGTGTGAGTGAGTGAGAGTGTGTGAGTGAGTGAGTGAGAGTGTGTGAATGAGTGAGTGTGTGAGTGAATGAGTGTGTGAGTGAGTGTGTGAGTGAGTGAGAGTGTGAGCGAGTGAGAGTGAGTGAGAGTGAGCATATGGTTGAGTGAGTGTGTGAGTGAATGCGTTTATGGTTGAGTGAGTGACAGTGAGTAAGTGTATGGTTAAGTGAGAGTGTGTGACAGAGTGTATGGTTGAGTGAATGAGTGAGAGTGTGTGAGTGAGTGAGTGTAATGGAGTGAGTGTATTGTCGAGTGAGTGTATGAGTGAGTGAGAGTGAGTGTATGAGTGAGTGACAGTGAGTGAGTATATGAGTGAATGAGTGTATGGTTGAGTGAGTGTATGAGTGTGTGAGTGACAGTGAGTGAGTGTATGAGTGAATGAGTGTATGGTTGAGTGAGTGAGTGAGAGTGTATGAGTGAGTGTATGAGTGAGAGTGAGTGACAGTGAGTGAGTGAATGAGTGTGTGAGTGAGTGTATGGTTGAGTGAGTGAGTGAGAGTGAGTGAGTGTTTGACGAAGCAGGTGAATGATTGACTCCTACCATGCCGAGTGATCTGGTTGACGGTGATCTGGTTGACGGTGATCAGGTTGATGGCATCTTAACGGGGCCCATTCGCTTACCGTGAATCTCCGGGGTTAATGATCAACCCTCAACGTCGACTCTTTGGTGATTGCTTCTCCTCTAAGGCACTGGTGGGAGAGACCACCCTTAGACTCACGGGGCTCTGATGTTATCAAACTCGCCTGGTATGCAGGAGGACGGGGGTTTGATCCGCAGTGGCTGAGGTGAGGGAGGGGGGGAGAATCCCACAAACCCCGCTACCCACCCCTCCTAGAAACAAGGGCACTGCCACTCTGACCAGGTTCCCCATTGGAGGACGCCGTGCAAGCCGAGTTGGTTAGGCCGAGGTGGCGTGGGGCCAGGATGTAGTGTGGAGTTTGTGTGGGGCCAGGATGTAGTGTGGAGTTTGTGTGGGGCCAGGATGTAGTGTGGAGTTTGTGTGGGGCCAGGATGTTGTGTGGAGTTTGTGTGGGGCCAGGATGTTGTGTGGAGTTTGTGTGGAACCAGGATGTAGTGTGGAGTTTGTGTGGGACCAGGATGTTGTGTGGAGTTTGCGAGGGGCCAGGATGTAGTGTGGAGTTTGCGAGGGGCCAGGATGTTGTGTGGAGTTTGTGTGGGGCCAGGATGTTGTGTGGAGTTTGTGTGGGACCAGGATGTAGTGTGGAGTTTGTGTGGGACCAGGATGTTGTGTGGAGTTTGCGAGGGGCCAGGATGTAGTGTGGAGTTTGCGAGGGGCCAGGATGTTGTGTGGAGTTTGTGTGGGGCCAGGATGTTGTGTGGAGTTTGTGTGGGCCAGGATGTAGTGTGGAGTTTGTGTGGGGCCGGGATGTAGTGTGGAGTTTGTGTGGGACCAGGATGTTGTGTGGAGTTTGTGTGGGGCCAGGATGTTGTGTGGAGTTTGTGTGGGCCAGGATGTTGTGTGGAGTTTGTGTGGGACCAGGATGTAGTGTGGAGTTTGTGTGGGGCCAGGATGTTGTGTGGAGTTTGTGTGGGCCAGGATGTTGTGTGGAGTTTGTGTGGGGCCGGGATGTAGTGTGGAGTTTGTGTGGGCCAGGATGTTGTGTGGAGTTTGCTTGGGGCCAGGATGTAGTGTGGAGTTTGCGTGTGGCCAGGATGTAGTGTGGAGTTTGTGTGGGCCAGGATGTTGTGTGGAGTTTGTGTGGGGCCGGGATGTAGTGTGGAGTTTGTGTGGGGCCAGGATGTAGTGTGGAGTTTGTGTGGGCCAGGATGTTGTGTGGAGTTTGCTTGGGGCCAGGATGTTGTGTGGAGTTTGTGTGGGGCCAGGATGTAGTGTGGAGTTTGTGTGGGGCCAGGATGTAGTGTGGAGTTTGCGAGGGGCCAGG